CACACACACACACACACACACACACACACACAAGAGGGGCCGGGCGATACCCTGCTCAGCTGGCGCGGCTCGGAGACCCCGCCCCGGCGCTGCCTCAGCAACCTGCAGTCTGATTGGCGCTTATTGGGCATTTACCCCGCCCCGTCAAGCGGAGGCGCTGCTCATTGGAAGAATCTTTGGACCCGCCTACACAACCCGGAAGTTTGCGAACAGAACCAGGAAACTGAAATTGACCTAAGGGTACCGCAATGCTCCCTGGGAAGTGTAGTCTTTGGAGCTTGGGGAGGTGATGGGCTTTCTATAGTGCAGGCAAGGAGGATTTTATAAACAAAACTAATTTAGGATCTTTACCACGGTCAGAGAATCTACCCAGAAGAAACAAGTGTAAGTTGTTATTTTCAGCCTGGGTTCAGTATTACTCAACAATTTAACAAGTTGCCGGGCAGAACTGGGGGGGGGGGGGGGGCGCAGGAAGGTCTTTTCACATAGACCCACTTTGAAATGTGAGGATAATGGATAGAAAAGTAATAGAATGGAAAACTGTATGGCAATGAAACTTATCCGGGTACAAGGGACAATGGCTGGATTTCAAAAACAATGAAATGCTCAGTAAAAGAAAGAAACGTATTTATAAAGCAAAAACGATTACGTACAGTAGGATGGACGGGGGGAAGAGTATAGGCTCAGCTTCCCAGTTTCCGGGCAACATCTGAGGCCTTTGAAATCCACTTGGGAAAAGCATTTCAGGGTATCTCACAAAAAAAGGAAAGTCTCACAAAGTGAAAGGCTCTGGCAAGGCTTTATTTTAGAATAAATCACCGTGGATTAGAAAAAGAGAGGGGAACACTGCCTGCACCCCACGCAGGAAATGGGAATTGAAGACTCAAGATGGTGATGTTATCTACTGCCTTTACTCTGAGCTGCCGGGGAGATACAAGTGGTCATGAGGCCCGGCAACTAATCCTTAGACAATGGCTTTGAGTGGGTGAGATGGTTGAGGTCCACCCAAAATGCAGGTAACCTTCAGGACTTCTTTCCGTTAGATGTCATTCATTCCTTCTGTCTTTGACTATCCAATAAGAGTCACCAGATTTTTACTTTACAAAGAAGGAGGGGGATTTAAATAGCCCTTCTCAAGTCCTGGATACTAGCTTAGTATTAAAAAGAAGCATTGTGGGAGAAGAACTTACCTGCCTTTTCCGTTTTCTTCCTTGTTGTAACTTCTGATATTTGCTTAAGTTAATATAATTTATATGGATGACTTTTTCCTTTTGATATTTGTAAAAAGTTACTATGTTTTCTATCTCCTTGTCTATCCTGCTTCAAAACCAAGCAAAACTAATGTCTAGGACACATACCTGAGTGGGAAAATACTGTCATGGGAAAGAAATGAAGAGGAAAGAAACCCCAGAATCAGGATACCAGTGACCTCCAGAGAATGGGGAAAGTGGGACACAGGGAGCAGGGAAAGGGACTAAGGAGGGAATTTACAGACACAACTTGCAATTTTTCAAATGGGAGTTTGTTCACGTCTGTTTATTTCATTATTATGCACATGCAAAATATTATCCTAGCTATCAAGGAGGCTGAAATGTGAAGGAAAGCAATTAAAATCCACTATAGGCAGAAAAATCCATGCAATCACATCTTGAAAATAACCAGCAGAAAGCTGGGTTGAGGGTATGGCTCAAGTAGTAGAGCACCTGGCGAGCAAGGAAGTGAAGCAAAAGAAAGGCCCTGAGATCAAACCCTCATACTGCAACACACACACACACACACACACACACACACACAGACTCAGGATATTCACTTGACTTGTATTCAGGTATGATCTGCTCATTCAGTATCCAGTGGAGAGAGGCTCAAATACACATTGGTCCCAAGTCAGAAGAAACAGTGGGAACTGCTGAGGTCGAAGCGTTTTGCCTGAAGGAGGGAGCTGCAATACACCTTTCCTGGGGTGATCCTGTGCAAAAGCATGGAACAGGCAGAGTGCCTGGCTTGGGAGTGGACATGTCTCAGAGTTAATAATGGGCAATTAGTGCTAGAGTGCTTGCCTAGCATGCATGAAGCCCTGGGTTCCATTCCTCAGTACCACATACACAGAAAAAGCCAGAAGTGGCGCTGTGGCTCCAGCTGCAGGCTAGCTTTGAGCAAAAGAAGCCCAAGGACAGTACCTAGTTCAAGACCTAGGACTGGCAAAAATAAATAAATAAATAAATAAAAATAATGGGCAGTAGGCCTCATCCTGTCATGCACAGGGAGGCTGGCAACCCCATAGCCTAACTATGGTTAACATGTTCTGCTGGTTTCAATGTTCTCTCAGACATACGTGGCCTTTCCCTGCATAGAAACACAGCACAGCCTAACTTTGCTGCCCCCACATACCTAAACACTAAATACCTCTGCCACTGCACACGGTCTTTGCAGGCAGAATCCTAACTGCTTGCACCCATCTCTAGCAGTACAGTGATGATGCTGATTTTATGACATCCTCCTCAGCATGTTTTGAAGGTACAGGAACACTTTTATGAAGGACATATATATCCAGCACCTTTTTATGTCCTTGGGGGTCCTGGGAGGACTTAGAAATTTTACTTCAATAGTTATTTATGCTGTATCTTGCATATCAGCCTACCACTAAGAGCAACCCCTCCAACAAAAGGTTCTCATAGCTGGGCACCCGTGGCTCACACCTGTAATCCTAGCTACTCAGGAGGCTGAGATCTGAGGATCACAGTTCAAAGCCAGCCCATGCAGGTAAGTCCATGAGACTCTTACCTCCAATTAACTACCAAAAAACCAGAAGTGGGGCTGTGGCTCAAGTAGTAGAGCACTAGCCTTGAGCTGAAGAACTCAGAGACAGCGCCCAGGCCCAGGGTTCAAGCCCCACGACTGACCAAATTAAAAATAAATAAAGGTTCTCATATTGGTCCCAATTTAAATCTGCAAAGCTAACTCTGGTGGCTTTCGCCTGTAATCCTAGCTACTCAGGAGGCTGAGTATTGCTGTTTGAAGCCAGCCCAGGCAGGAAAGTCTATGAAACTCTTATCTCCGATTAACCACCCAAAAGCCAGAAGTGGAGCTGTGACTCAAGTGGTAGGGTGCCAGCCTTGAGAGAAAAAGCTTAGAGACAGTGCCCGGGCTGAGTTCAAGCCTCATTGCTGACACTAAATAGATAAATAAATCCTAACAGGCACTCTGGTTCTGTGGTCAGAGACTCTTAAAGAGGCTTTAGTGACTTCCATTTGTGCTTCAAGGAACCCTAGGATGACCCAGTATGAAATCCTAAGTTCTCTGAGGGCTTCTAATACCTGGACCATAATCATTAGAGTGTAAACCATAGGCCACACTCCAGGCTCTTTTGGACATAGAGGCTCTCACCCACCCTGAGTTTGCAACCCTCCAAATCCATTTGCTAATGGCCCATTTGGTAGAGGACTTGCTTTTGTCCCAGTCTCTTCCATCATCTTCCTACTTCTCTGCCTGTGGAGTCACTGGGACCACAAGACCTGAGCCCTCATTCCAGCTACCAGGATTTTAAAGTCTCTTATTCTTTGACCTCAAAGTTGCTGGAGTGTCTTCTGTGTTTCTTCTCCCAGAGTTAGGTAACACTCTTCTTCCTTTTCAGCTTCATATGCCTCTTAGGCAAATGACAAGTATAGCCTGTGAAGCCTCATACTCCCTCCTGAGAGTGGCCCTAGATCTCAGGTAAGGTCCCCAAACCAGGGACCAACAAGAGCTGCAGGTCAGAACTAACCTGGTTCTCCAGGAGAAAATCGTCCAGCACCACAGGATGAAGGAAGAGGCAGAAGGGGAAAGATTAGGCAGATAGGGAGAGACAACAGTCCTCATGGAGACAAAGCCCCTGACCACCCTGGAGCTGGCCTGCAAAGGCAGCCATCCCCTTGGGGTGAGGTGCTCAGTGACCCAAGCAGATACCAGACCAGAGGAAACTCACCCAAGGAAATATAAAAAGGGAGTGCCGGGTGCTGGTGGCTCAGGCCTGTATTCCTAGCCACTCAGGTGGCTGAGATCTGAGGATTGCCATTCTAAGCCAGCCTGGGCAGGAATATCTGTGAGACTCTTTATCTCTGATAAACTATTCAGAAAAAGCCAGAAATGGTGCTGTGGCTCAAGTGGTAGCACAGCCTTGAGCACAAAGAAGAAGCTCAGGGACAACACCCAGGCCCAGAGGCCTCAGGATGGGCAAAAAAAAAAAAAAAAAAGAATATAAAATGAGCACTGCAATGGGCACTACCAATTTCTAGGCCTCCTTCTTACCTTTATAAGTCTGTCTGTGCTTTCCTCCTCCTCCTTCCTCCCCCTCCCCCAACTCCGCCAAGCAGGTAGACAGGATCTCATAGGGTACCAGGTGGCCCTTCTATCTGGAAGTCATAGTTTAGGGATTACAACAAGTTGCTAGTAGCCAAGAGGCTACCCTCACCTTGTCTGGTGTCTTACTCTCACTTTCAAATAGACTTTGCCAGGCTAGATTTGAACCTGGATCCTTAGATCTTAGATTCCTGAATAATTAGGATTACAGGTATGAGCCAGCTGGGCCCCGCAGTCACTGTTTGTTGTTGTTGTTGTTGTGCTGGTCCTGGGGCTTGAACTTAGGGCCTGAGCACTGTGCCTCTGCTTTTTTGTTGTTGTTGTTCAAGGCTAGTGCTCTACCCCTTGAGCCACAGCTCTACTTCTGGCTTTTTGCTAGCTAACTGTAGATTAAATGAGTCTCAAGGGCTTTCCTGCCAGGGCTGGCTTCGAACCTCAATGCTCAGCTCTCAGCCTCCTGAGAAGCTAGGATGACAAGTGTGAGCCACCACGTGGCCCCGCCAGTGTGGCCCGGTGCACCGCACCCACCCAACCCAACGCCTCTCTCAGGAAGAGGCCGAGGATTTCCACGCCCCCCCCCCCAGTGCCCAGCCAGG